AAAGCTGTGTTATGTCATGTTCATCTTTTTTTTTTTTTTATGTTGGAAAAAATAACTTTTGTAAGTTTTCACTCAATAGTGCCTCCCCTAGAATTGAGTTCTTTCTATTTATAAGATGAGTTTTGCCAATGCCTTTGTGGTTTAGTGGCATAAAAGCTTTCTCCTTAATTAGGTCGTGGTTCGATTTTGCTTATAACAACAACATATTAATATTTGTCCATCTAAATAAATAAATAAATAAATAAAAAGATTGAATTCTCAACTTTAGTGTAAGAGATGTTAACTACTAAGTTCATTTCATTTGATTTTGACACTACATTGTTGGTGAGTTTTATTAAATTCTATATCTCCCTTCATCTTGTTCCCATCTTTATATAGATTGTGTTTAATAAGAGAAAGGATTTGTGTGGATGATTTAATGGATGTCAATCTAACAAAAAAATTTATATTTTTATGTGTGTTCGTTGACTTCGTTCACTAAAGATTTAATAAGTTATAAAAGAAAATTCAAAGCCTTGAAAAACGGCACAGCGCTAGATATTTGGGCGGCAAAGAAATCAAAACATTTTTTTAATGGTTAAATGAATAAATTTTTTTTTAAATTTTAGATCTAATATAGCATTACAATCTAACTTTTATTATTAATAAAAATTAACTTAAAAACAATATTAGAAATTATAAAAAATAACAAAAAAATTCAGAAAAGGAGCAAAAAATTACAAATAAAGATATAAAAAATTATAGAAAAAGATAAATTATCAACATACTTTTTTAATTGCTCACAGCTTTTCCCTATTAAAGACGATTATATTTGAAATATTTCTCTCAATAAAAATTTAAATATTAATTTATTATGTTATAAAATGTTAATTCCTTTTATTATTCCTACTCTAATCGATGAAGATATCAAAGCAGAATACAGAATGGTCCCATGAACAATCCATATTCCATAGGCCGTAGCTGCGGCTATCCCCCACAACCACTCATAAAATGCTTTTTCCGTACCTTGCGCGAGACAATTATACCTTCCGAAATGAAGCACTCACAATTCCAAACAAAACAAAAAAGACAAAAAACAAAACAAAACAAAAAACAAAAAACCAAAAACAAAAACAAAAACAAAAGTGTGTGCTGTAGATTTACGCTAGATGAGTGGCTTAGATCTTCTCTCTCAATAAGTGTGCTAATTATTTTTTTATTGGATTTCATCACACATGAAAAAACAACACTCTCACAATCAGAACTAAAGCCAGCAATGATAACCCAGCCTAATAGACTAACATGAACTTAAAAGATTTTAAAATTAGGTTTAGAAGCTTAAAAAAATTTTTTTCTTTAAATTTGTTTGAGCAGTTTGAATATGCTCAAAGAAATTTAAATTAAACAAAAAATTTAGCCTAAATACTAGTGTTCTTTTTTATTAATAAAATAAAATTAATCTTCACCTCAACTTTCATTTAGCACTCAAAAACCTTTTTTTAAATTCAACTTTTATTGATTGGAGGAGAAGAACATGAAAGAAATCCCTTCCAATCCTCCCAATTTGGAGGGGAGCAGAGAAAGAGAGAGGAATCCCTCCAAATTCTTTCAATTTAAATGAAGTTTTATTGTTCTAATAACTATTTTAAATATTTTTTGAAAACATTAAGAAAAGATAAATATAAGATGTTACTTTACATGATTTCATTTTTACTTTTTCAATATTCAGTCTCGCTTTAATAAAAATAGAAAAAAAATTATTATAATATTATGTTACTTGAAAAATCTTAACTTTCTAGAATTAAAATCAAAATTGGCTAGAGAAAGACAAATAGAGATGTGCACAAGTTCCATGGGGCACTAACATTCACTATTTTTCTTTATCTGCTTCTTTTTTTGTTTCTCTCTTTTTGATTTTGTTTTCTTTAGTGATTTGCTTAGTGATGCAATGCATTCAACCATGGACCATAATGAGAGATACCAGAAAAACAAAAAGACCACTTAAGAGCACAGCATCAGAATCAAACAAAAACAGATTTTGAGTTTCTGCTACTTCACTTGATTAATTACCTCTGCACTAAAGTTTACTCCATTTGTTTCTATTTATAAAAAAAACTATTACTTTTTACTTATTTTTTTATATAAGCAAAATCACATATTTCAATAGACATTTATTACGCATTTCCTAAATTACCCTTTATAATTTATATTAATAAAAAATAATCAATGTATGCTTATGTTGATTAATATAGGACATTTTGATCTAATTTTTCATTTTCAGACATAATTATTATAGTTAATCAACTTTCATAAACTGTGTGATATAATTTTTTTTATATATAGAAACAAAGGGAGTATATCCTTTACACCCTCATGGTAAAAAAAAAAAAATCTTTCTACACTAAAAAAAACAAGAAGAAGAAAGAAAAAAATAATTGAAAGCAAAAAATTTGGAAATGGCTGCTCTCTATTAAGTGGAGAGACCACTACAATTATGATCTATTATACTCCATCCCTTTCAAATTATCAAAAAATTTTAAAAAAAATTGATGTCTCAAAATATGATATACTTTAGCAAAAATAATGTTTAATTAATGATAATTTTTTAAATATTATCCTTCCCATTATACTCTCTCTCTTTTTAATATTTTTTTAAATGAAATATTAAATGAAAGTAATTTTAAGAAGTTTATTTTTTTAAAAAAATAAAATTATAAGGTATATTTAATAAAATTTATTGATATATATAATTTTATTCAAAAATATTTTATAATTTGAGATAGAGGAAGTTTTAGTTTTGATAGCTTTTAAAAATAAAAATTTATCTATATTATTAAAAGTTGATATAAGCGATTTAGAACCACAGTGGTAGCGTAGAGAAAACTAAAAAGAATATTGAAAAGAAAAGGTAAAAAATTTATAAGTCTACAATCCGCCCTTAATTAAATACTTCATTATTAAATTCTTTGCAAGCCTTTGTTATTAAGTAAATTAGAGTGTCCAAAATTTATTTTCAAATGATTTTCTACAAGACTTCCATTTTTAATAACTAAAAGATGTACATTTTCCAATTAATCTTTTATTTTTTAAAAAATCACTATCTTTTTCACCAAATTGTGCCATTTTGTTCCATAATACTTTAATGAAAAAATTTAAAGGATCTTAGTCCTTAATTGATATTTTCAAAAGATTCCAAAATGTTTTTTTCCCCTAGTCCTAACCTTAGAAAGAAAAGGTAAAAAAATTATGTGTGATCACAATTCACTGCCTCGAGCTCTATGTATGAATCCAAAGTACTTACTGGCCCAAAAAACAATCCAAAGTACTTTAGGGTCCCCGTGAACCATCTCATTTTTATTTCTAGAAAAGTGATATATAATTGCATTGAACTAGGGAGAACGATGTTAAAGGACTGAAAAATTGAATTAAACTTAAATAAGAATAAAAAAATTTAAAAATCTAAAATAAAGACCAAAGATCTTACATAAATCTAAAAAGCTTGTCACTCTCATTCCATGATTTGCAATCCTCAAAATGAAAATTTGCAAGTTAAGTTCGCTAATTCATAATAGAAAACTTGTCAAATGCAAGTATAACATTACTTGAAAATCATTTTTCTTAACAAATTAATAAATCTTATTTACAAATTCGTGTTGTGAGAGTTAGAGATAAATGAACGTGAGTAACAAATAATTGAAAATAATGATTTGTTTAATAAGTTTTTTCTTTACAAATTAGTGATTTTTTCTAGCAAGTTCTTGTCTACATGGTTGCAAATCATGGAATGATTAGTAAATTTTTAGGCCAATTAACTAAAAGATATTTGGTCCGAATTTTGGATTTCCAAATCTCTTGGTCCTTATTCAAGTTTCATTTAATATTTTGGCCCTTTAATATCATTTCTCCTTGAGCAAAACACAATTTTTAGTGAAATCTGAAAAGGAATCACAATGTTCACAATTTGTAAGCTTTGCCTCTAGCTATAATTTTATATTGATTAAAGTAGATTTTTGATCCTTTAATTTTATATAAAATTTTAATTTGATCCTTTAATTTTATAAAGTATCTTTTTAATTATTTAACCCTAATACCAATAATTTTAAATGATTATTTTTTTGTCAGTCATTGTTATTTTAAAACATTAAACTTAATATATCAACATTTAATAATATTTTGTTAATATTTAAAAATTTAATGCAAAAACCAAGGAAGATTGAATCTAGCAGAAGTAGAATTCTCTCATAACTTGATGAACTAAAATTCAAATCCTCATTGAGGTGACTATATTTAATATCTCCAATAAAAGAATACCTATAAGTACTAAAAAAATAATATAAGAGTTTTTTTATTGATAAAACTAAGCAGTGTTAGGTTAAATGATTAAAAAAAATACTCCATCCAATCTTTATTATAAAATATTTTTAACTGTTTCATGCATCTTAAGAAAAATTAATTTTTTTTCTTGATGTCCTAAAAAAGTAAGATACACTTTTATTTTTATCCTTGATTTTAAATAATAATATAATTAAATTAAATACCTTCACGCTAATCAAGAAGGGGTAAAATTGAAAAAAATGATTTGATTATTATAAGGTATCCTATATTTTGATCAAAAATTACTTTTAAAAAGTATATTATAAATAGGATTAGAGGAAGTACTCTATAAAACTAATAAATCTAAATAAAACCTTCTGTAAAGTTAAAAGTTTAAATATGTACTTTATTTTTTTTATATTTCATATGTAATTGATTGATCAAGCATTCATTGAGTCAGTTGATTAATAAAGTTATCATAGGCAAACAAAAACTTCATAGAAACTGTTAGTGGAGTCACTCATAAGTTTCTTATAGACAAACAAAATCTACATAGAACCAATTCAAATATTAAAAAACCAGAGCCTAATGGGGCTCAATACCACAATTATGTGAAAATAGCATATTTCAAGCTTTAATTAAAGTAACTTTAACGTCATAAAGATGGCCTCATTTCCACTATAAATACCGGCTGGGTAAGAGAGTGGAGAGATCATAAAGAGCAAGCTTATCAATCAGTTCATATATTTTAAAATTCTCTGAAGCTTCAGATATTCTCTCTGATGGCTCCAGTGCTCATTTCTCCTCTAAACGTTGGACACATTGATGATGTCCAAGAACTCACAAAGACTAAGCCAAGAAGCATTCCTGAAAGATTTGTGAGAGATGTCACTGAAAGACCACAACTTTTTTCTGGAACTACATCACCTTCACATAGTGACATGCCCGTCATTGATTTCTCCAAGTTCCTCAGAGGAAACACAGAGGAATTCCAAGTTGAAATTCTGAAGCTTGCTTCTGCTTGTGAAGAATGGGGATTCTTTCAGGTACACAACAAAAAGTTGCTTTCTTTTATGACCCCACTTTCTCTTTTCTTCTTTTGGACCTGAAAGATTGAAACTTTGACGGTATTGTTAGGTAAAGAATCATGGGATTGATCAGAAACTACTAGAGAGTATAGAAGAGATAAGCAAGGAATTTTTCATGCTGCCTTTGGAAGAGAAGCAGAAATACCCAATGATTCCAGGGACAGTACAAGGATATGGACAAGCTTTCGTTTTCTCAGAGGATCAGAAGCTAGATTGGTGCAACATGTTTGCTCTTGCAATTGAACCTCACTGTATGAGGAATCCAAATCTATGGCCAAACAAGCCAGAAAGGTTCAGGTATATACACTCACTTGCTAAGTTCAACTACAGTTTGATAAAATTGAAAAACCTGGTTTGGTTAATTAATATGATTATTTGCAGTGAAACTTTGGAAGAGTACTCAAGAGAAGTGAGGAAGCTATGTCAGAACCTTCTAGAATTCATAGCTTTAGGGCTTGGATTGATGGAAGATGCTTTTAGTGAGATGTTTGGTATGGCAGTTCAAGCTGTGAGGATGAACTACTATCCACCATGTTCAAGACCTGACCTTGTGATGGGTCTGAGTCCTCATTCTGATGGAAGTGCCATCACTGTTCTGCAGCAAGCAACAGGAAGCCCTGTGGGACTTCAGATTTTCAGAGACAAAACATGGATTCCTGTTCAGCCAATTCCAAATGCTTTTGTCATCAACATAGGAGATACGATTGAAGTAAGAACACTATACTTCCCTTCTTTTATTCCTGACCACACAGGTTTCTTTATTTTTGTTATTATTATTATTTTCAACAGGTCTTCCTGCCAACTTGCTTGCATCTCAACTGATCAACCTTTCTAATTTAGTCGAAAACAAGTTATTTCCAATTGAAGTAGGATTCGATTCACACACAAAAAAGGACTATTTAGTAGTCGTTAGTTTGATTTATTAAGGTTCAAGTATTGTTGGGTCCCAAATGAGAGATAACTCTTCCTACATGATATTTTCAGACAAATAAATCTGTTCCATTTGTCCAAACCACCATTATTCACATGGAAAGCTTTTCTAAGTAGACGGTGCTTACATGAGCAAACAAATGAGTGTGTATCATGATGATGATGGGGTCTTCATAACATTCAAGTTGTATATTCTTTTGACCCTTTTTTCTCAGTGTGGTTTATGGATGCTAAGGTAAGCAATGGATACCTAAGCAAAACAGCAGCTTTAAATATATATATATATATATATATATTTATAGACATTTGTATTTCTCTTAATCAACATGAGTTTGAGGCCACATAACAATTTCCCCTTACTGTTCATAGCACCAGATTCTCCTGCAAGACATTGTTCTGATCTGAAATTATATGTGAAGGTGCTTACAAATGGAAAATACAAGAGCGTGGAACATAGAGCTGTGGCTAATGAAGAGAAAGATAGACTGACCATAGTGACATTTTATGCCCCAGGCTATGAAGTAGAGCTTGGTCCAATGCCAGAATTTGTAGATGAGAACAAGCCCAGCAAATACAGAAGATACAATCATGGAGAGTACAGTAAGCACTACACAACAAACAAGTTGCAAGGCAAAAGGACCTTGGATTTTGCCAAAATTCATCAAAGTGAAAACTCAAACTAACTAGGAAGGCCCACTTAAGTTCTCAGTTAGGAGTATCAATGTGAATTGAAGCCTCATGATTCTGCAGATTGACGATTATAAGAAAAATGAATCATGTGAGAGAGTGTGGTTGTGGGGTCACATACTCAAATATGGACTCACTGTTAGCGTTTCAATTATATACATGTTGCCTTGTAATGGAAACTTGTGGGGACTTTTGTGTCAAGTTGTGTGCTGGTTTCTACTTTCTGTGGGTTTCAAAACAAGCAATGATGAAGCAGAATTAGGTGTCAATTCCAGTTTACTTTATATACTCTTAGCAAAACTAATCAACATTAATTTCAACCAACAAGGCGTGCCTAGGTTATCCTGGGTCTCTTAAGCATGTGGCCATGATTCAATTCCTAAACCTTGCGTATGGAAAAGCATTTGTTGGAAGTGATTATCCCCTTAAATGGAACTGTAGTCCTTGGAGGGATTAATTTCTAGCACTCACGTTGGGAATGTCACGGAAAAATCCAAAAAGAAAAAGGAGTCAATGTTAATTTCAGTCTACGATTAAGTGAATTTTCTGTGGGTAATATCTGGCAATGTATAATTGATGTGAAAGAATCTAACAGTAACTGGACAAAATGATTGGCAGCAACCAAAGAGCTTTATTTTCTGAGATATATATATATATATATATCGATAGAGAGAGAGAGAGAGAGAGAGAGGAGGCCCACAGGTCATTCTTGCATGTTAGAGTTGATGAAACGTGCACGTGTAACAGGGAGTGAAAGAAGCACTAGGCGAAGCATGCTGTTATTTTTTTTATAGTGCTTCTGAGCAGAATTGACAATTGACGGAGCAATGTTTTTTTTTTTTTTTTAACACAGCAAAGCTTATTGCTTCCAGACCAAGCCTTTAATTTTGCTTTACTTGGAGATCAATCACTTTGGGGAAAAAATCTAGCAAATTCAGCAGTGGGCAAGCTTGGAAATCCAAGCTCTATACCGGTGATATGTACCTATCATCCGTAGGATAAACGCATATCGATTATATCAGATCTTGATTCAAAATTTTAAAATTTAAGTTTGTAATCCCTTCTATTTTATTATAGACTTCCTCTAATTACAATATAAGATATTAATAATTATTTTACAGTTCTAAAAAAAATAGATAAAATTTTAATCTATTAAAACTTGTACATCTTTTTAATTATATTATTATTAAATAAAATATATAAGTGTCTTAATAATAATGATTGAAATTTAATATATTATTTTTTTAAAAATAAATAAATAAATTAAGAGTATAATTAAAAAATAACTATCTAACATCCTATATTTTAAATTAAACAGAATTTCTTAAATGTGGTTTCAGTATTTCTTATTAACCAATTTATTTGAGGTGTGATTTTTTACATCAATTTAAGTTCACTTCCACTTAAACATTTTATAATATATATTGTTGAACACATAATACTCTGAGTTAACACTTTTCCTTTCGTCCTGTATGTATATGGTTTATATATATATATATATATATATCATATGGCCTTAATTTTTTGAATTAAAAGAAAATATTGGACAGCCATTAAGAAAGATGCGTGTTGATTGTGTGTGACTTATTAATTTAATTTATATATATATATATAAAGTGGGGTTGGGATTTTGGAGAAAGTGGGGTGAAATAGGAGGCAACCGATGCTGGAGGCATGATATCAATGAAAAAAAAACACGCACGCACGCACGCACGCACGCACGCGCACACTCCCACGCACACGCACACGCACACGCACACAGTCAACTTAAAAAAGAAAAGATATATTACAACTGCTTTTTTTTTTTTTGAACAAAGATATATCACAACTGTTTGAAAATGACCATTCATACACCGTTCTTTTCTTTTCTTGCAATTCATCTCTCGTCTTTTTCATCAATTAATTTTTTTTTGGGGCCTGATTTTCATTCACTCAGTACTTGAAACCAAACACAACAAGGTTGACCTAATATTTAGTGAGAATATAATATAATTTAATATAAATAAATAAATTATCCTTAAACTTTAAATTTATTAATATCATGAATCTTAAATTAATTTATTAAATAAAACATTTTTTTAACTTTTAAAAATAATGTCATTTAAATCCTATTATTAATAAAAATTAATTTTAATAATTAATTAACCATAAAATAATGAAAAAAAATTTCAAAATTTACGTTAACAACTAAAATTATAATAAATGATTCAAAAATTACAACATGATCTCAAAAAATTACAAGAAAAGATCAAAATTTTGTGGTCCTTTCTTGTAATTTTTTAGGTTATTTTCTATTAATTTACAGTCAAAATTAACTTTTATTAACTATAAAGGTCAAATTGTACTGTTTTTAAAAGTTAAAAAAATAATTTACATAATAAACAAGTTTAAAGTCTCGTACTACTGGATTTAAAATTTAAGAGATAATTTGCTCGTTTATCCTATAATAAATTGTACCCTTAAATGTATATTAATCATAATTTATGAGCTGTCACTTCCATCAAAGGACTTATCACATATTTATATATATAATTATAATTAATTTTTTAATTACTTGATGGGAGACCATTATATATCAAATATTGCATGTTGCACGAAATCTAAAAAATAAGGTATGCTTGGATCAAACTTAAACTATAAATTAGCTTGAATATAAAAGAACATTTATCTCAGATCAAGTTTAACAACTCATTATGTACATACAAGATATAGAAAATATTCAATTTCAACCTTCTAATCCCTTCACCTTTGTGGCAAAAAAAAAAAAAAAATCCCAAATATCTTCCTCACGCCAACCAAAAAAATCTGAACTCTAAGAGAAAAGTGGAGTACGAGCAACTATATATGGTTGAAGACAAAATCTTCAGGAAAGTGGAATGCAACATTAACAACGCAAGATAAAATGTGAATGATTGAGATCCGATTTAATTTGTACATATTTCATACATTAATTTCTTTGTTGTGTTTTCTTTTTCATAAATTAAGTATTATATGTTGAGATGAATGTATAATCATATAAAAAAGACAAAATTCATAATGATTATATATATATATATAAAGTTGAGAAAATATCTATTCAAGAAAATGATAAAAATGTGTTTGACATGGTTTTGATATGTTCAAAAAAAAAAAACTATTGGAGTCGGTAAGAAAAGTTAAGTGTAACGGGCGTCCTAAATTAGGACTTAATCATCATACTAACTATGGTTAATCAAGGATTAACCCAAATGGATTATACAATACGAGATTAACCTAAATGAATTCTTAATATGTATTTATTTTTTTACAAACTATTTAATATAAAGGAATCCCAAGTCTTTAAAATATTTTAAGAATTCATATCATTCAATTAAACATATGCGGAAGCATGATAATAACTATTTTTACTTGCACAAATATTTTGACCCATTAATATAATACAAGCATCAAAACACAATCTCAAGAGCCCAAAATACCTTTCCATCCTACACAAAACCCATAGTACAAATGAATCAAGAATATATTAACCTAATTGGCAATATCATAAACTAAATACACATATCAACATAAAAGGAGAGAGGCCTACAGAAGTGATTATTATCACTTGGTATAATGCTCCTTTCCTCTGTTCTTCTCAGATGAGTTAGTTCCTGTAATATGTTAAAAGAGAGGGGTGAGTACAACCACTCAGTAACCAAGGTATATCTAAGTTATATAAATACATGATAATTAATCATGAATGCAAGTGACCAATAAATTTATCAAGGTGATCATTCAAACAATCACATTAATAACATGTTAATCACATTAACATTTAACTCATGTGAATAATTTCAAGAATAAAGTCAAGTATAAAATTTGCACAAATAGCCTCATATACATTATTCGCATAATTACTACATGTTCTCATTTCTACAATTATAATCATATTCTCAATATAGCCATCTATCACTCAAATGGCATGATAATAATAATATGCATGATCAATCTCTTCCTTATATCCCCCCTTATTTCCTCTGACATGAAATCCGTGGGCTAACAACCGGAAGGGATCATCCATGTGGTGAGACTACCCAAAGCCTTAATCATATCATGAGGGGCTACCGGGCCAAGATTACCTTACTCACTTATGAACACGGTTTCCCCCAAATCACACATTATGGGGTGTCATACCCAAAACTAGCTCTACCCAAAACTCCAGGTAGGCCAGTAGGGTCAAGTCCCTTAATAGGAACAATGCTACAGTACCTTACAAGGTAAGTAGCGGCTATAACCCCTAGGATTATTGGTTAATAGCCAAATACCATATGAATTTTGTGTAATCGCTAACTCCTTCACTAAGGCGAACTCCCGCCATATTATCATACTAATAAAAAAATACATTTTAAAAACTTATATATATAATTCATAATTTATAGTCAAGATTGTGCATATCATTATCAACATTAATCTCATTACTTATACTAAGTCACAATTAATTTGGTCACAAATCATAAGGTCTCAACAAAACCACATGCATTACAAACAACTATTTCAAATTTAAATATATATATATATATATATATTCTTTTGTTTTACTAACATAATTAATTAATTAACATACAAATATATAAAATAGATTTCCCCTGGTTACCTCAACCTTTGAGAGGTCAAAGGTTACTCCTCAAGTTACAACACTTCCAAAGCTTTCCAAAGCTTGAATGGTGTCAAAAGAAAATTAATCTACAATTGATCATATCCCAATGTGTCAATAATATTATTAACACAATTTTCACTCATACTCTAACACCTAAGTATTTATTTTATTTTATTTGATATTTATTTATTTTTTAAGAAATTAGTCTTAGTCTCTTGAATTCTAAAATTTAATTTCATGTATTTAAACGTATCTACTTGGTTTAATAGTCTCCTTCACAATAATTTCATTCAAATATTTTTCTAATATCAAAATTTCTCTTTTTATCCCAAAAATTCGCACATAAAAATACCCCAAAATTGCAAACTTGATTTCAAGCCTAGAATCATTATTCTATAGCCATAATAATTTATTTCTCATCTCAAATAATCATTTAAATATCAACAAATCAATTTATATTTTCAGATTTAACTAAAAATCTACCCATAGAAATCTAGGGATAAACTCAAATGCCTCAAATTCCAATTCTATCAACAAAATAATACTCTAGAATATTTATTACACTACTAACAACCTCAAAACCACATTTATTCAACATAAATTTATTCCTCTTCCAAATTCTAAATTTTCTACCACCACAAAATCAGAAACCAA